TCATTGGAGAGTTTTCTCGAAACTGGAAGGGAATTTGACTTAATAGCCTTCGCTTGTTTTGCCTCGTTTTAACACTGCAGTCTAGTTCTTCCGCTATTATATTCTGGTGTTGGTGTATTTAATTATGGCAAAGCACACGAGGGCTATCTGCCTAAGGGGAGGGATGCCTTCGTGGAGGACTTTCTAAGGGAAACTGGCTCGTATACAGTTACAAATGGGAAAAACCACGAAACGCCCGTTCGCGGGATTCGAACCTCGGAGCGAACTACCAGTGTTCAGCGACTTTACCGTTCGGCCGCTGGTAGGCCAATATTATATTCTAAGTAAGAGTAATTCTCGGCACGAAATATGCATTAATATTAAAAAAGGACTGTTGTAATTGTTAAGTAGTGTGAGCATGAAAGTTTAAAATAACTACATGTATTTTCAAACAAAGGAAAAAAATTAACTCCCAGAAATATATTCTTTGAATTCTACACCTTTCATTCAAAAATGTATAACAATTATAAACAGTTTTTTTTTTTTCAAAAATTGGAAGAAAAACAAAACTTTGAAACTTTTTTCTCTCAAGGTGCAGGTTTAAATAAATCCTTTTAGAATTAAACTTTTTCTCTTTAAAACTCTTTCCCTAGTATATTTCAAAACATTAAATTTTTGTAAATTCAAATGTAAATTTAAGCTCTTTTTTTTAATTTTTCGTTGCACCGAGTTTATTTACAAAACAAACAGCAGCGTTCTTTTCTCCGCGCACAATATTGTGCAATGGAATTTTTTAAATTATGCATCAATAAGCCACTGGATAAAACCAATTGAAATGCGTCCTTTATTCTGTAGATTCAAATCGTCTGCGTACAGGCAGCAGCTAAAAAGCGATACGTGCCAAGTTTTGATACCCCAGCAGAATCCTTTGAGGCCAGAGTAACCCTACAAATCTCATGCCCATTTTTCCCGCCAAAACGTCGCGTCGCATCTGAGCGTGGGTTCAATATTCTCTCAAAGCATAGTACGTAGTAAAATGAGGGGATGGAAAAATAAAGGGGGGATTTCTCGGAACAAGTCAAACGATCCCACGCGGAGCTCATGCGCGCTGGACAGACACCCGGACCTATGGACCGTTGCTACCGGCATGTAACCTTGAATTTTTTTTTCTCTCGCTGCTATTTTTTTTCGAGCAGATATGTTTCCCTTGGCGGCGCTCAAGCGAGGTCATGGTATGTCGATGAATTTGGAGGTTATATTTTTTTCCTTCTCTCCTGAAGGTCGGCCATTTTGGTTCGAAATGAAGAATTAATGATTTTACTTTCTGTGGTGGTTATATTTTTTCACTTTGTGCTGATTGCTAATTGCGATAAGAAAAAAAAAAGCCATGTCTTTTGTGCTCCCTTTGTAATGCTAAGGAAATGAAGTTTGCAGCAGTTGGAAAGCGTGGATTGTTTTTTCACTTCCACTCCCTCTTACATTCATGCGTCTCTTCGCCGCACATGAGTCAGAAAAGGGCATTTCTCGGATAGAAGAAAGCACAATGTTGCGTAATCTATTCAGATTTTTGTTATTCTAGTAGAAGGTTGGTGTCTACGTTTGTTTAGTTACAAAAACTGGCGTTTTCGGGTATTGTGAAAGTTTTGTTCACAGTCTTTCACAACAGTGAATCTAATTATTATATTTATAATGCATAAAGATTTGAATTGTGAGTAAAACGTATTTATGAGCTTTTTTGAAGGAATAAAAAAAATCAAATTTAATCAAGTTTTTTTTTTTTTTTTTTTTTTTTAATAGCCGGGAGCTTTATTTACAAAGCAAAAAGTTTTAATTCATTGTGCCGTTGTGAAAATTTCGAACTCATATCAGTTCTCTAGCCTTTAATTATCCGGATCGAAGAAATTCTAATCTTATAGGGTTCTATAATTGAGACACAATAACACGCCGAATAAGTACTAACTCAGAAGTCATTAGCCCCGCGCTACTAAAAGGGCTGGAAGTGGTGGCCATTCTTATTATATAAGTACCTAATAGGTGGTTTCTTACGAAGGGACGGACAATTACAACCATGCCTTCTCCGGGATTCGAACCCGAGCACATCGCTATGGCAGTTAGGTCACTAATCACAACACCGGTTGGCCGGTTAGTTTATTCAAGGTCGTTTTCACTATTCTGGAATATAAGTCATTTCAAGTGCTTCTTGCGCACGTTATTTACATTATTCTTAAATTGTATGCAGTTCCTCGGACGTATTACCGAGCAGTTTCCATATACAATAAAAACGAAGCAAAATTTTTATTACAGGAGGATTTCACGCGCGTCGATTATAAAAAATTTCGTTTATCTTCAAAAATCCCGTTTTTCACTGTTTCAGCAGTAATTAAGTTTTATACAGGTTTTAAACTTTATTTTCTCCAATATGCGGTAACACAGGTTTACCAAGTTCCTTTTTACAAAATTAACTGCCCAAATATGAAAAACAGAATTTCGGAAATGTCATAAAAATTATTGTTAATATTTACATTTTTGCAAGTGGTTATTTAGGTTACTAATCTAAACCTGTTACTATTCTTATTTTCTTAAATTATTTGCTTTATATATATTTACTTTGATTAGTTTGATTAGCAATTTAATTTACTCATCCATATGCAGTATGGTAAGCAAACATTGTTCTGCAAGTGACTTGGACTAACCTATATTAGAAAAGGCGGCGAGGGAAAAAAATGTGTTGCGTGGACGCAATCGCTGATTAGTGTTTATGTTTGGGGAATGTTTAGCAGTATAGTATTATAGTCATATTTTTTTTATACTATTTATGTTTCTGATGGAAATTCATGAAGATACTCGGATTTGATAACAAAACGAAATTAAAGAGCTCTGTCAAAAAGCTTTAGGAACAAGAGTCTGAATATTAATTTCATCGAAAAAACGCAATACAGTCAAAAGTCGTTAATTCGGACACCCCATAATCCGGAATGATCTATAATCCGGACCTCAAAACTAAAAACTTTGTGCGCATGCGCCGCGTTGACACATGAGAATTGGCGTTTACGCGTGCGCGTAAGACCTTTACGACTGCGCATATGCGTGTGCGCAAGTGCAGAATACGTTTTCGCGTGCGCGTTTAATGTATAACTGACGGTATAAGCTAAAATTATCTAATTTTATTTCAGTTAATGTTGATGATTGCGTTGTTCCTTAATCTTCGAACTGGATCCGGCTTATTACTTTTTTCAGACTGTAAGAGCAATTTTATAAAAGTAAACTTGAACTTTCGATTATGTCAAATAGAATTTCCGATGCTGGAGCTCCCAGAGGATCTACAAAACGAAAGTATGTTTCGATGTCCATCAAACAAAAAGTGGAATTGCTGCAAAAAATGGATAAAGACATGAAGAAGGTGACAGAGAGGTTAGTGAAAACGAAAAAATTTCGATTGACAAGTTAGTCGGCATTCTCGGCACAGCAATTACGGGACTTGAACAACGGAAACTTTCTAACTGAACAAGAAAATTATGTCTGTTTATAGAATTAAAGAGAAAGTATTATCACAATAAAACGAAGCAACTTCAAACATTACATTCAACATTTTTTGAAAGAAATGTTTAATAAAGTAAACAAATAAATATTAAGATTTTTTTTTTTTTTTTGTTTGTAAATTTTGATACCCTTTAGATCATAATTGTTCTTTATTTCATAAATTACGGTTTCATATTTTTAATTTTAGAATTTCTGCATGCCATCTAAGTTTTTAATGTTTAATGAAGACCTCGGCAGCCTATAACAAACGGGCAACCGAAGAACCCATTTCATAATTTTAAGTGACTCAACTGAGTTCCAAAAATAAAGTATAATATATAAAAATGAATTATGACACATAAATATGAAACGAATGCTTCAAGAATACATAAAATTAAACCGAAAATAAATAATAACAATGACGTTTTTGTTCGGTTAGGAATTTGCAGTAAAGAATATGCATTTTATTTTTAAAAAATAAAAAATTGTAACGTAATTTCAAAGAGAAATCGGTAAGATTGGCAATGCCGATCTATGATCCGTAATTCCAAAAAACTGGCTTTGCCATTTTATCCGCATTCGATTCAACTTAATAAATGCAAGCAAACGTTTTCACTCATGAAATTTATTTTAAGTAAGAACAAGAGCAGCTTAAGTAGTAAAAATTTTATTATGCATCAATTCAGATGACTAATTATAAGCCAGACTTGATTAAACTGAAAGTCACACGTTCCGCATCAGAAAAGCCATTGCTACCGAAGGAAAAAAGTAAAGTTAATTTAGTTATGTTTGTTTTTATCATTTCAATTTTTATGTTTAAAGCGTATTGTAATTATTTCCCAGTAATGTTTATTTTTTTAAACGAAAATACAATAGACCCGAAACGTCTTCCTAATACACACATTTTGGTTGAGTTTGACCCGCAGCCAAAAAATGTTGTTGGGGCCTGCTTTAATCTGTAACAAATTCTTGGAAAATAAGTGTAATAAAAATCTTAGACAGAATGCTTAACGTTTTATTTATCTTCTTTTAATCATATACGTCTATCTCATTTCTCAAGAGAAACCTTTCAAAAGATAATTCCCTAATTTCACAAAGTTTTAATTTGATATCTTGTACAAATATACTAATTAACTACATTAAGCTGTTTTCAAATGATAGCATTATTTATTCATTGGTATTAATTAATAATTAATAATTAATAATTAATTTCTTAGTAATATTTATCTTACGAAAGAAAATTTATTCCTAATCATTTGCCTCTGCAAAAGAGATGGTTTCTTCCATATTCCATAAAATAATAATTTTGCTGACCACGACTTCTTCCGAGATTCTTTTGAATGACATCTCTTTTGAAAGAAATTTTAAAAGCTGCCAATTTTGAATAAGGTTTATAAGATTTCAAGGGTATGAATGCGCATCATTATGTTGCAATTTAAAAACTTAGAGCACGCTACTTGATGTTTTATTTTTATTTTTATTTTTTATCCGATATAGGCAGCTTGAGCCGACGGGTACCCAGCTTCGGCTTTTCTCAGTTTTCAACCGAAATTGTAATTCAAGTGGACCATCAGAAAAGGTGAGCTCCATCATATTTAGTTATTGTTTAATAATTTGTCATCATTTTAACTCATTTATTATTTTTTCATATCTTTACATTTCATTTAATCTTAATAAGTCATTACTTATTATTTTATATATTTATATTTATTTATTTTTTCTGAACGCTTACCATAAGACTTTAATTTTATAAATTAAGCCTTGGATGTAGCTACTGAAGAAATGTCTATCTAATCGTTGAGAATCACAGCACCCTAATTTCTGTCTAAACTGTTTTTTTCCCTAATTTCTGTCTAAACTGAAACATATAACTTTCAGCAATTTAAAAAAGACGTTTTATCACAAATAGAAAATTTAAAAAAGATCCCTTTTAAACAGTTAGTTACTCTTATAGAAAATTCTGTAATTTTAAGAACTTATTTTCAGCATTCAGTAAGTGAGTGTTATTGTTTTGCAAAATGATCTGGATGATTCATTATTTTAATTATTTATTGTATTTGTTAATTTTTCAAATATTAAATGTTTTTGCGCCATACGCACTACAGAGCACAAAATAACAAAAATTTAGAATTTTTAAAACTGGCAATAAAATCACTGTATTCAAGATTTAAGAATGGGTAAGATAGTTTATCAAAAGTATCAATGAATGCTTTTGTAATTTCTAATTATCATCCAACAAATTCTATTACATGAAATATTTCTTAAACTTAAAAAATGTATTAATTTAAATTTATTTTCACGTATTCATCTGAGTTATTTAAACAACTGCATTTTTAGCTCCTCTTATATAAGTCTGTAGAGTCATTATGTTTTTCAGAAACAGAAGAAATGAAAAATGGTCACACAGCCTTTGCAGAGATTCGAGCAGCGGAACTCCCGATTGCCAGCCGTTCGTGCTTTCCAGTTACACCAGAAAGGCACACGGTAAGGAGGAAGAATATACCTTATAAGTTGCATTTGAATTAAATATTTTTTCTGCATAATTGACTAATGAAATAGGATACACTTCAACAGAAAAATAAAATATTAGCAATCAGCATGAAGTCTTTAAAGTATAACATACTTACGCACTGCATATATAAAGCATACAAAACAAAATGACAAAATTAAAATCAAGACAGGTACTTTTAAAATTTACAAATTGGCTTAGTTTGTGGAATTTTAATGCTTTGAGTATTTCACTCTTGTTGTAGTAGTGGGTAAAGCTTTAGCCACTACTTGTAGTAATATGTAAATATATAGTATATATTTTTATTATTAATTTAGTCTTTCTTAAAAGATAAAATTACTGAAATCAAAGCGTATAAAAAAAAGATGTGCACTTTATAAGCAAACTGCAAATATTTTCAAAACTTGAGTAGAAAGTGAAAAACTCGTCAAAGGCGAAAATTCTGCTACGTGCTTTCATCATCAAAAGTTAGAAAAGTCACACAGTTTTATGACATGACTACCGCCCTTGAACTTAACGCAAATTGTAGGAGCAGGTGAAGTACAACATCTGCGGAGCGACAGATAATTGTTATGCAAAAGCTGTGCATTTCCAGACATTCAAATTGATAGCTAGAAACGCCAAAACTCAAAATATAATAAAAACGTATGCCGAAGCAGTGAATGCAGCATTGAAAATGCAGTTTACTTTCATTTTATCAAAAGAAGACAAAAGGCCTCAAGGGTTTAAAGTATTTGCGAAAAAAAGTGCTAATATATTACTTTTTTTAAAAGAATAAGTTACCCACCGTATGACTATCACCTTTCTAAGACGACCTAATCTGAAAATGCCGCACACTTCTAAGAACATTCTAATTATTAAATAATATTGCTACTGAACATGATCCATATTCCCCAAGCTCCGCGGAAGAAGCGTAGTAAAGGAGATCTAACTGCATTTCCTCATTAATGCCAGTAGTTTATTATATAATACTGGTTATAGCGTGCGCGATTGCACCTATTCAGTACTTTCATGGCTTAGCACGCGTGTTTGCTAAGAAACCCGTTTTACAGTAAAGACTCAAAACTTGTTAGCGCTGCTGAAAACTTTAATTTATGCATAAAACACATTAAGAAGACTACATTACAATTAATTTTATAATTATTCATTAATATAGATAGAAAAAGAAGATTTTATAGCCTAGAATTATAAATTATGCTGACTGCTTTTATTAGTGGATCTTTGTGAAACAAGGTACTGTCAAAACAAAGAAGAGGCGACCAAACGTACCGATGGTGCGTCACATTTCAAGATATGTCCCGCATTATATAAACCTTTCGGAAAATGATCGCAGGCACTTTATATTCATTGATATTTTTCGCGTATTTTGGAATGAATTTTTAGGAAGACTAGTTTTAAATAAACACCAGCGGGCAAGCTGCTGCCAAAGCAAAATTTATAAGTTCTAATTACTCCTGAAAAGAAAATGTAGAAAAACATTTCAATGTAAATGAAATCAGTACATTCTTCCCAAGCAACAACCAATTCGTAAATAATTTTTTTATTTCCAAATCAGGAAACAAAAATTTTTGACACTTCAGATTAATACGCAGATGTGTGACGTCATGATTTAAATTTAATGTAATATAACAACTTTTTCTCAACATCAATAAAAGAATTAACGTGGAAATAGCAGATCGTGTCAATTACCCTAACCTGAAACAAAAAAAAAAAAAAAAAAAATTTACCAACAGCAACTATTTATTTTAAATGCTGACATTAACTACAAATTTTTGACTAATAAATTTTTTAACTCTACGATTTGAAAGCAAGCAGTGGCAACGCTTTTCGAAATAAAGCATTTTTATCTTCAGCGATACTGAGCGCGAGACTGTTGCCACTCGGAAAAATGAGAGTGAAAATTAGCGTTTTCAGAGTTTTTTAAAATTAATATCTCGGCCTATTAAAGTCATACGAAGATGGGAATGTTCGGAATGGCATCCCACGAATTTTTGGAACCCGGCGGTACTATTCTTGGAACTCAACTCCCCACCGTTCGGAGGAGATGATGTTACAATACAAACAAACAAATAAACAGAGAGACAGATGCGCACAGATTTTAAATAGTATAGCTATTTCACTACAGGTATTCTTCTTATATTATTATACTGTCAGCATACTGAAAGATCAAATTTTAAAACTAAAATGTGAAGATTTTATGCAATAATGCAAAATAAATTTTGAATGTATGTAACAGAGAAACTATGTTATACCCTCAGCACAAAAATTATCATTAATTGAATAAATAAAAGCAAAACATCAATAAGCAAATTAAAGGAATTAAAATTGAAATCTGAAAACTTTAGATTGTAATCAATCATTTCTATAAAGAGTTTTTTATTTTTTCAATTAAAAACATGCTAAAAATGTGAAAAACTTAAAAAATAAAAAATATTGTAACATGATCTACGTATTTAGTTGTAATTTAACAAAGGTAACATAGGGATTTAGAGGTAATGGCAAAAAATTCAAGGTAGAGAGTATAAAATATTCAAATTATCCAAGACGTATCTGCCCACTTTTCCACAGAGTTTCTTCGCAGGATGCTTAAGATTTTTATTTCTTACAAATAAAGAGGCAGCAAATTTTATTTTGTAAAGGCATAATGAAAACTTCCTTACTGCGAAGTCCATCTTAGATACTACAGTTGTCTCATCATATTGTAACGTTAGAATACTAACTATTACAAAATATGTGACATAACCTGAACATTATCAGCAGCACGGTAACACAATAAATTAATAAAATGTTAAATCTGATATCAAGAAGAAACAAATAGAGGTAAGGTACGCCTTCTTTGAGATACAGAATTAAATGAGTAAATAAAATGTCAAAACTCATAGAATAAAAGAAAAGATTTTAAAATTAAATCAGAATGATTTTTTTTAAATCTAAAATGAAAATAATACTTTTAATGAATGCTAGGTATCCGCATCAAATGAATATATTATATACTAAAGTAGAGCAAATGAATATATTATATACTAAAGTAAAGCACCAGTATAAAGGTAAGTAACTTTTCTTACTAATCTTTCCACTGGTTAAAAGAAAAGTTAGTTTTTACAAACAAAAGAAAAAAGTTAATTTTTTACAATTAGAGCTGGTATAGGGATTGAAAAAGTAAGTCCACGTGCTAGTCAAAGAAATAGTGGTGTATATACAGAAATATATTAGCGAGAGTGGCACGTAAATATATTAATGAAGCATCATTAAATACAATAGCGAAGCATCAAGGAAATCTCTATCGGCAACGCAGACAATAAGTCTTGAAAATTAACATATTTATATGCTATTCAAGGGAATAATATTTGCATATAGATAATAATAACACACTATAACAGAGAATAAGCATTCCATTAATTTACGCAAACCTGATAGTGAACAAAAAATTATCTAAAAAGCAATGAAATATCATTCCAGTAATTTATCTTTAGCCTGAAGTGTGCGTTGTGCTAATCACTCATTCCACTTTAAAAGGAAATTTGCTTAAAAATATAAAGATTATTGATTAATTTTGAATTTTTACGTACATTCAAGTTAAGTGGCGTTTTTAATTAAAAATATATTGAAAAATTATCAATGTAAATCAATATTTTGGTACGTAGAAATGCTTTTCATACAGATGGCATGCATTTTTATTACGATAGTTTTTGCCTTTTTTGATGTGCTGGATGGTCGTTTTGCATAAATTTATTGTCAATTTTCTTTACAATTAATAATTTTGGAATCATGTTACTTATTATATCATAAAAGCCTATGACTAGAGTTGCCTTCAACTAAACTGATCAGTTCAACAGAATATTCTTAAAAAGGTATCAAAGTATGTGGAATGGTAATTACTTAAAAATCTTGCAATTAATTGGCAGTGTATGTTTTTTCATCTATATACAGGTCTAGGTTTTGAACATCTAAATCTAGGCTTTATAATCACAAAATTGTTTCAGCATTTATCAGTGGGATATAGGTTTTCAAAGGAATTGAAAACTTTTATTTTTGTACTGCGATTCAAATGAGTACTGAACAATGGGTACTTCATTAGATACACACAGTAACAGCTCGCCAATAATTAATGTGTTTAATCGGCTTCACGATTATCAAAATAATCGGCTTCAATCTTTTCAATAGATTTTGCCGCTCGCTATTGTACCACTGTCACTCTTTAGCAGTATTCTTTTGAACTGATAGCATGATATCAGCATCGGCAACGCGTCACCAACTTGTTCTGCCATCACCCGATGAATTATTGGGTGCTGACAGACAAACATAATTGCTCCCCTATTATACCCCTTCTCGTACTATTAACCACCATCCTCTCGCTACATGATTCAGACTTCGCAAGAATTAATTGCATACCCATAATCCGAACAGGATTAGGAGTAACTCTTCCCCTTAAAATAACATAAAAGGGAAAAAAATCGCTTTCGTGCATCGCCCATTTGCTTTACGGGAACTTGAGCTTTGCCTGCTGGGTATACTGAATACAGCTCACCCAGAACTTGATTTATAGTTCCTTTCCCCTCCATCGATAATCAGGTCTGTAATTAAAAACATTAACGTCTTCTACCTACTCCCTGGACGCAAGCTTCTCTGTGTGTCGCGTGAAATCATGATGAAACATGTCTGCCATCAGGGAAAAAAGATACACACATTGCATTCGGAAAAGAAGCTGCATTTTTTTCATGAGTTTAATCCCTAGAGATGAATGACATTTCCCCAATATTTTCCCTTTAGGAAGAACTGCTATTGAACATTGTACGCGTTAAATTTTATTTTTCATCGAGAGGCAACGGGAAACAGAAGAAAGTGACAGCTTCACACTAAACTCATCCCTTTCAAAGATTTAAGAGGATTATATGTATATATGGGACTTATAATTCATAATTTTGATTCTTAAGAAAACTTTAATCCTCTTTTTAATTAAGAGATATCTCAGGGT